AAACAAACTAAGCGTACCAACGGAGGCGAAAAAGTAGGACGATGACGAGTGGTACTAGGACGGACAGGATCGTTTTCCTCGTCAGCTAGCTCCGTTTTCCTAACTACTCTTGTGAAGAGTAATATCTAACATCGTTTAGTGTATTAAAATAAACTGGCTATATTCTTATATTGTACTTTCTTTCGCAGGAGTATTACTTGAGCCTGAGCACAGTTACTTCCCGCTAACTTTGATGAAATGCATTTACCACAATGATGATCGCCTTATGTTTGGTTACGTGTCATCCGCTAAACGTTGTCAAATGACTTTTACTCTGCTTGCTAAACAGCTGTTACTTTTCCGCTAACTGTCATCAAATGAATTTACTGATAATTTCTGTCAGTTACCGTTCAATCCGACAATACATGTCTGTTCTGTTCAAGGGATCTAGCAGATATTGTTTTTAAAAGTAACCTTCTAGATATTGGATGACCACTTTTTCAAATTTTATGAAATCAGTTTGAAACTCTTTTTGGTAAAATGTTTTGCCGCAGGACTTCTAAAAATGTCGGTGATCTACTTTTGCTTATTAAAACCCGCCACTTACCAAAGTAACTATCAACACGATCACAATTAAATTGGTAAAACATTCAATCAATATTTGCATATAACAGACCTGCCCAGTTTTTTTTTACCTTCCTCATTCAATATTTTTCAGTCTACAAGAGTCTATTTTTTTTCTCTGTTACCACAAATTTGCGCAGTGATAATTTGTTTGTACCATTTCTTCTCTCTGTTAGACTTATATTTTTTTGTCAAATTCTGTCTTCTACACTCTGTTGTTTACTAAGATATAAAAATACCAAAGACTTATATAATAACAAACCTTAAAGGAGTAAGGATGGTTGAGGATAGAGAAGATGGACACGGCCGGAGTTACAAACGGCGAATTTTAACTGAAATTTAGGCTAAATTTTTCAAGATACGCAAACCTTGACGCACTGACGAATATACCGCAATCTTGCTATAAAAAATCTACTTTATTTACGAAAGGTACTTTACAGTGAGGACACTCGAACAGCGCAGCGAGTGTATACTTTCTCGATGGGTCTTGCATAATTTAATGTACAATGAGTTATAAAACATAATGCAGGACTTTTGGTTTTTTGTTTTCTCAATATTGTAACAGCTGAAACCTCCCAAATCGTTCCAAGGGCTTAACCACTGAGTACTAAGTTCCGACTTCTTCAGTCTATCATTAAATCAATGTTCCTTGAACAATAACGGCAATCATATATTAAAATGATATATAATCCCGCCACTGGAAACAATTGAGAACAGTTAAGATCTTGCTAAGAGAAACTACATTTACGATATCAGTGTAGCAACAAGCTGTTGGGACCACAATGAAAGCATCAGTATATAGAAGGGTGTCTTAAATTCGCTTGCTGGTAAGCGAATTTCACAAGGATCTAACTAAAAAAAAAAAACAATCTTAACGGATTACCTTGTTTATACTGAATCACCTATCAAAGTGGAACTAACGGATTCTGAGATTCTGAACAAGGGCGAGAAACTGGGCAGCATTTCCCACGCAACAGAAAGGTGCATGCTTGAACACACTTCATCATCGATCATAAAGAACTGGACAGGCCTGGAGGGAAATGTCTCTATTGCAAACAGGACTTTTATCACACAAGTGCCAGAATATCTTGCCATCGCCGTTATCACTTTCGAGGGAATCTGCACTTTGGCGGGAACGTTTTCCAACGCCAGCGTCTTCATAAGCGACAAGACCTTCGAAAAGTGCCGCACTATTTTGTCGGTAGCCTCGCTGTGATCGGAACTTTCTCGGCGTTGTTTAGCACACAAATGCTAATACTGATCAAGACGGCTGTTAATTGTTTTCAAATTCAGGACTTTTCAGTCGCCGAGGTATTTTGCAAAGTTGGTTTCCCTTCGGGGTATGTCTGGGTAGTTAACGCTCTGAATCTGTGGCTATTGGTGTTTGATCGTCACAACTGTGTTGTACGACCCTTTAATCGACGTGTTACGACGAGAAACGTGAAGAAAATCATTGTAGTGATTTGGATTTGAGCGTTAATAACTGCTGTCCTCGCTATATCGATTAGAAATGAACCGTCTGTATGCATCAAATTATACACGTATAACAGGTAGATACCGCTCCCCCCATATATTAGGCATTGCTTTCACCATTGACTCATATTCACTCTTGTTTTTCAACTGGACAAGGTTACCGTGGTGATCGTCACTGCAACTTTCTTTCGAATCATTAGCGCATTCCGGTCGTCAAGGGTAAATCCTTCAATTTCCTTGCATAGACGCCGAGAGAAAATGGTGACCTAGTTGACCTTGCAGCTGTGTTGTATTTTCCTGTTGTTCCGAGTTCCCGTTACAATTGCTCATGGGTTCAATGGCGGAGAACTTGAAGAAACAGGGGTAAAAACTGCCCACCTGTTGACTGTTGCATTGGTGCATTTTACATACGTGACTTATCCTATTCTCTATTGGAAAGTGCTAAGAGTCAGGCCGCCAAATCCGCCTGCATCTCCCACAAGACAGACGGGTGGTCATGAACCTGTTGTACAGGCTGCAGTCGGTGCTAGGGAAAATCGAAATGTCGGTCTGGAACCTTGAATGAATAATATAAAAAAAAAAAATAAATAAATAAGTAAAAAGTAAAAAAAATAATTAAAAAAAAACAAACAAGAATA